AAGAGATGGATGGATGAATCAATAATTTAGGCGTATATGAAGACAATTGTTTTTTTTTCTGCTGTTTTTGTTACAGTTCACCATAAAGGCCTCCGTTAACGGCCAGACGTTTACAGAGGAGGTGGAGGTGGACCGGGTGAACGGATTGGTGACGTACCGGGATGACGTCAACACTGTGGACGGGGAGATTATACAAACTAAAGAGGTAAAGCTAAGAATACAAAGGAGCTTACGTTTACACTAGTCTATATACATGTAACTATATTCTTTTGCTTACAGGAATAAAGCACCTCATGAGCAATCAATAGATGATGGAAAGGTAAAAATTACAAGTTTTTAAATGGGAAGTCTGAAATCTTTCACTTATATTTTCGAACTGAAGAAAACTGTTTTGAGATCAATCAATCAATCAATAAAACCAGTTGAGAAGTACAGGGCCACGATACAGTCGCATTTGTGATGGAGATAGTACAAGCCAACGTTGCAAATGCCATCTTTACAGGGTCTGACTGTGCTCTACCACCAAGGTAGCTGTTACGTGTTGGAGAACGAAAAGGACAACGAGACAAACGACTTTGACATTGATGAGATGGAGGGTGTGATGGAGTCCTTAGAGGTGAGTTCAATACAAACATTAACTACTAGTATCTATTCATTAATTTGTTAGTTTGTTTACTGGTTATGTAAAGTATCAATCCGCACCAAAGTGAACTCTTACGTACTTACGAGATCTTCTCATCTTCTAATGAGTAGCCTGCGCCAAGTAGTCCCCGTCTCCTTAGTATCCTTCGTCACTAACCCCTCCAGGGTTAGAGTTGGATTGCCCGTGGCCAACCTGACATCCTCGAGCACAGTCTAGCCAATGCTTCCTCAGTCTCCCTCTGGACCTCCTCCCGCAGTTTGAGATCCATTCGAGCCGGAACTTAAATAGCCGCTCCTCCGGTATTCCTAAGACATGTCCCACCCATCTTAATGTGTTCTTTGTTATGATTGTTCCAATGTCTGCGGTGTTCGCCCTCTGCAGTACACATTTATGTGTTACATGTTTTCACCACTTGATGTTCAGAATCCTCCGTAGACACGACCGTAGAAGGTCTCAAGTCTGTTAATCTGTGGAACTCTATCTAGATAGAGTTTATTATTGGTCTTTTCTTACGACAGGATTCCGGCGAGGTGCCAAGTTTTGACGTGTACCAAGTCGTCTTCCTGAACCAGTCCGTCCCGGTGAGTTCTGAAGATGACGTCATCCTGCGCCCACAGCTGCCGCCGGTGTGTCATGATGCTACCCTGTACCGAGCCCACGAGGAAAACGCTCGAGGTGAGGTTACATATGTTAATAATGGGCTTGTTCATTTATAATAACGATCGCACATCACTATTGTATTCGCGTATCTATCTCACTCTCTTTCTTTCTCGTTCTGTATATATATATATATATATATACAATCAAGAAGTGACACCAATTAATGTTGTTGTTGGATTTATGTAGATTATTGGGAACAAGAGATGGACGGTGGGGACAGTATGGAGACGTCCTACAATAGCCGTGTTAGGCAACGTGTTAGACGTGGTGCACGCTACTGTAAAATTAAATTCGTGAATGGAGAGATTGTCCCGGTGTGCACTGACCCGGACTAGGTTTTTCATGAGGACCAGGGTGCAGATGTTATAAATTAATTGTCTGGTGCATATAATAGACTATTAGTCTTTCGATTATTTTTTAAAATTAAGATGTATTGTTTTTATGGGTAGTCGTTTACCTGAGATATAAAATAAAGAAGAACAAGAAGACTAATCTTTGAAAATCACCCTAGACAGATTTTCTGGTGTTTTATAAACTAGGAATTTACCGCATCGCAAAATATACCATGATAAGATGATTTGACACTTTGATAACTAACTTACATTTGGCATTCGTATATTGGTTAAATGTTACGATTACTATATACTATTTACTATGGTGTTTTTGTTTTTTGTGTTCAATGTATTAATCTGTCCTCAGTGGACATACTATGGTGAATTATCTTGGTTGGAATAAAGGTATAAAAGCCAAATGTTTATAAATCTTTATTTGTATACTGATATACTGTATCACCATACACGTTGCAATACTAATAACAACAGCAACATAGAAGTAGGTTTCCTTTTAATAGAGTTACAACAGGCTACAGTCTCCTCCTCCTTTCCCCCGGATTTAAGCTTGTTAGTTTTATCCTTGACTGGTTCAAAGTATATTCATACCATTGCCATAACAAATACGTACATATGGCTTAGTCTACCAGAAAAGGGAAAACATGGAGTCAGCATGGCGCGGGAACGTCGCCCTTATTTGTGAGGACCAGTGGATTCTTTGAAGACCTGGACCAGAAGAAATCCAAGATGGCGAACCCCGTCACAGACCTGTTCGTGTTGTTCTTAGTGTTGTTTCTTTTGTTCGTTCTCGTTCTATCTGTGACGTCAGCGGTCGTGCTGATTGGGTGGATGGGGGTCAAGGTTCTTTGGCCTAGACGCAAGGAAATCGTAAGTATTCTTGATTGCATAAAGTTGCCACAATTTGTAGCAAACGTCATTGAAAGATGGCGGTTTTACGACCGAGTAAAAAGACATTACTAATATGTAACATGATATGTAGCAGTTTCAGGCATCGCTTGATTGTTACATATTGTTACAGTTTTATGAGAATGATTTATTTCAATTCGTTACTTTGGCGTGACAAAGTAGCAAAACCCGTACGCCACATAAAGGGCGACACTCATGATCGATAGCTAGCATCACATTTGGAAGCTGGAATTCGTGAGACTGAATTCGAAATGGCTAGTGTGACTTATGGTTTGCATGCAGCCAGTGGCAAATTTTATGACTAGAATACTTGCACCCACATGAAGGAAAAAGTCCTATCTCTGGAAACGACTAGCAATATCAACAGTTGAACTTACGATAATGTAATATCTGCGACATATTTACCCTTTTTAATTTGTGTTTTTCTTTGCGAATAATTATGAAGCTCATAATTCTGGCAATAGTCTATTATCTTAGACAATATGTGTATATATTGTATGAAAACATAGTGTGACATGTGTATACAATTACTGAAATACGTGAATTTAGAGATATATATGTTGTACACTAAAACATACTCAACATTTTCCTTTTTACAGAAGAAAGATGAAACTGACGAAGAATCTGACTGGGAAGTCGAAAACGACATCAACGACGAGGCAGCTGAGAACGACACCAACACGATCATAAGCATCGTCAAAAACATAGAGGGAACTTCGGACGTCACAGAAAACAAAGATGGCGTATCTGAGGATGAAAATGAAAAAGCAGAATTTGAAAATTCGGACCAATCAGCAAGTATCAACCGTGTGACGGTCTTACAGTTTCCTGTGACGCAGACGTCGATTGGCCAATCAGAGCGACCCATCAGCAGCAAAAGCAGCGATGCCGGCAGCAGCGTGGAACCGGAAGTCGAACTGGATTATGGGGACTTGTTGGGGCCGCCACCAACACCGGAAGTGGAAGAGGAAAGAGAAGGGGGTGACGGGAAGGAAAATCTAAGTCTAGAGGAGTATGAAGAGGATGACCTTGTGTTTGAGATACCGGAGGAGCTAAGATTCTCCCGGTATCAGTACTTTTTTAAGCGAGGGGATTTCGACTCCAGCGACGAAGACCGAGGGTACATGTCGAGCGAAGACGAACTAGACCGATGGGTGCGTCGGAGATCCGACGAGTACCGAGCGGCGCCGGGAAGAGACGAACGTCACCGACTGACTCCGATTCCGTCGGCCGAGAACGAAGATGTTGCCGAAGACCTGATAAAGGAGGAAGACATTGGGGATGGAGAAGATGGTGATGAACATTTGCCGTTCGCAAACGACATTGATGACGAAGTAGTGACGATATTAGCCGCCATTTCGGAATGGAAACAAAATGGCGACAAGAAAACCCAACCAAACACAGCCACAACAACTTCATTCTCCACCACAAAAGCAGAGAGAGACGAAAGCAAATCTCCATCTACGGCTTTGACAGAATCTTCCCTTGGCCTCACAGAGGGAATCACAGACCACACGGGTTGGAAAAGTCGAAGTCCGAGTCCCCGACCAGCTTCTGGTCGGCAGCAGGTCGTGTTTTCCGCGGATCAAACAGTGTCAAAAGAAAAGCCAAACAAACAGCATGACGAAGGCTCTACAAAAATAGAGGTGGCAGAAAAGCCTACATTTGGGCAAAATGAAACACAGAAACCAAAAAGTCCGATTGCGAGCTTTATACACATCTCACAAGAAATTAAAGCTTCGGGGATAGACAAGGAACAGTCTGATAGCATAGATACTCAAGGAAACTTGACATCAAGGGATCAACCAACCCACAGGCTAAACCCAATTGCTCAAAAAGCTGTCAAGAAAGGTATCAACAAGCAAGCCATGCCAGTTATTGCAGAACCTAAGAGTTTAGCACAGCACCTTTTTGAGCCAGAATCAAGTGACGAGGACGAAGATGACGACTTCCTATTGTCGTACACGGGAAGACAGTTGTCCACCCCTACTCCTGTCTTCGACAGAAAATCGCCTGAAGTTGCTGTCAATCGATCCCCGTCGCCCAGCAACTCGCGGAGTGGAACTGCTAATAAACTCAGTGTAGATGCGTCTGTAGGGATCAGCAATTTCAAAGGACCGCCGTTGACGAACAACGAGAAAATGAAGCAAGAGAAGGCCATGCTTGGAGAGCAAGAACAGCGGGCAAGAGTGTCACGGTTCAAAGAGATGCTCAAACCAGCCGTCAGCGTTACTAAGGAACAGCCAAAGGATGATGTCAACAAGGAGGAAAACGAAGAAAAGAGGTTTGAGAAGTTTCCCGAGGTGGCACACCCAATTGCGCAACCGACACCAATCAAAATGGATCCACAACCCATCAAGGAGCCGGCAATTTTCACAGCTCCTTCAAATGTATGGAGGAAGGTGGAAGCTTCACCCCCCATTACTGAGCCACAATCACAAGGTGGCAAGAAAGGTCATGGTCACCAACTGATGGGACCGGGCATGCCGCGGTCTCTCGCGAGAGCCAGCGAGATTGGGCGAGATTCATCCGGGTTCTCAGTCAAGAAGCATCTAGGGCTGTTCGAGGCCATGTCCGAGCTACGTCAGGTGGCGTCTAGTCGGCCTCCTTCTCCTAGAAACAACCCGGCTGGTTCCTCTAGAATGTATCGCTCGATGCCGGACTTAGTCACCATGTGGAAGGGCCTAGAAACGAAAAGCAAGGTTCCAAAACCCTTCCCAACCAAGGCGTTTGTACCACCTGAATGGAAAGCGCGAAAAGATCTTGGTGATGAAAATTGTACCTCATCTATTTAATCATAGATTTTTTTAGAACTTTAGAAGCTTTTCAAGATTTACTGAGGGTCTTTTACGGAATGTTTGTCTCAGTTGCAAGTAAAAGAAGCTATTATCAATGTACTGTTCATCTTAATCTTTGAAAGGCAGTTGCGTTTATGGAAAAAATTACGAATTTGCTCGAATTGTTACCGGATAAACACCAAGCAAACAGGACGATGTTTTGAAGGATTTCAGGGTTTTGCAATAGAAAGAGGATAGATATACTGAAAATATACATATATTGAATTATCATATAACCTGCAGGTGTTCTGATCTAAGTCTTGCTCATTAGAATAGATATGAACACACCAATTATTTCTACTTGTCTAGTTTTTTTGTTTGCAACATATATCTAAACCTGGGCTACCTATGTATATAAGATACTGCAATGCACAGTAGTGGTGGCAAGATAGATTATTAGATAGACTATGAATCAGGCTGATGTAGTGTGGACAGAAGTAAGTACAATGTACTATGTGATAAGACGTCTGGGTAGATTTTTTTATCCGTGTTATAATGTTATTGTCTTAGGTGAGAATGCGAGTTAACTTTCTTCTGACTTCTGGCTGGTTTAGAGAGAACTTTTTCCCTTCAAATGACTCACACGACTATTCACGGAACTGAAGGTTTGAACTCTCATAACCTCGGATCTTCAATCATTGGATAAATAGCGTCACATATCTCTGTCCAGAAATGGCCAAAAGATGTCGGACCCCGGCGCGCCCATACAGAGAACTTACCACCGATAAGGCGTCCTGTAATCCTGGCCCTACAGCGCCACTTCTCCTGTATGTTAGACTTTCCTCCCCAGATCGTGTTATGGCCTGTGCAGTCTGTCTCGATTCAAATGCAATCGCCGACCGGCCTTCCTCGGAACCGACTCCAACGTGGGACTCGAACCCCATACATTCAGTCGAGGACTCCTCGCCTCCTCCGACGCCCCTGCTGAGGAAGAACTCGCTGGAACTGGACCAGCCGGTCTTGCAGAGCAGGAGGAGGAGGCTGCGCTGGCTGTGGAGCCGGACAGGCAAGCGGGAAGACTGTCGGACACCGACGGACGAGCTCCTCACTCAGGCGGAGCTGGAGAGAAGGTTCTTAGCCAGATACGAAGACAGGAGTCCCACTAGTGCTTCTCCTTCTCCGTCAAGGGTAAGTATGTCTCATTCCCTCTGTCTAACTCTCCGTACCGTTTAAATAGTTATAGAATACAATTAAATAAACAATAATCAAAATCCTTGTTTCTGCTGTATAGTTTTCCTTCTTTATTTCATTGAGTCATACTCAAATTGAAAGCAGGTAAGTGTGACTTACAGATGTAAGATGTTACGAAACAATGTAAGAAGAAATGCACGCGAAAACAGATCGTTTACAGAAGTCAATTAATCAAGCACAAATGACACCGCAAGTGGCATGGGCGTATATAAGGAAATATCCATTTTCCTATTGAAATTGCAGTAAAACATAATTATTTGATTTTTACGTGATAAATAAAACTACTTTGGTACAGTCCGAAAGAAATATTATGACGGCTTCTCGCAAAATTATAGTCAAGTGTTTCATGTATTGCACATGACGAGCAGATGACGTCATAATGACGTCATTGCTAGAGGATTTTTTTATTGTGAGGTCCGGATTTGAAATTGTAATGTGAATTCATGATAATGATCAATTCATCGACTGCAGGTACTAGCATGTGCTTCGGTCAATGATTTAATTTTCTAGAATATCTCAAATGACGTGCTTGAACGTATTTTCCAACTGAGTCAGACCGTCATGCATGATGATGATGCGTCTCCAGAACCATTTAGAGCTACGACTACCCACTTAAGGGTGAATGATATCCCTTTAAGTACGTCTCTCATGTCACCTTGACATAAGAGAGCAGTCATGACCCCACTTCGTTTTGGCAGCCCGCAAATCGTCCTTGCTGTCGTAAATAAGCTACACAAGATCATTTACGACATTTACACCTATGATTGCCTCAGATGTCCTTCTAGAATTATGAATTCATTTTTGTTTTGTTGTTTAATATAAGATCAATATTCTATTGTTTAAGTATTTCTGACCATTTAACGCAGTCAATGTGTTTAATGCTAAATCGCATTTTGTGATTGGGGATTATTGTTGAATTTAATTCTAACCAGTAACCATTAAAAAGATAGATACTACCATAATGACAACAATTGAAGAAAGTGCTAACGACTTGAATGTTTGTCATCCTAGAAGTACTATAGAAAAGTTCTGACATAGGAGAACTTCAAAGAACTCAAACCCATCAAAATAGAAAATATTGAATACCACCCGCCTGCCCCACCCCAATCCATATATGCTAAAAAGAAAACCAAAGATAAACATATTTGTATTTGCTTTGAAACAGAGCCTTGGTGGTCCAGCTGCTTTCACATATTGCCTTTTGAACAGCAAAACGGAAGTTCTTAGCGCCTGAAAATGGAAAAAAAATCAACAACAGAAAAACGTTCATGATTGAAATTTGTGGTGAAGGAAAAAATGGCATCCACTTTAATTTCAATATACTTATATAATATTTCTCCAAATTGTTTAACATCTGGATATCTTTTTAAATGATGATTGGCCAATGACCTAATTAACATGCACACGTCACTAGGCCGCATATGGCGGGAAATGTAACGATGTTTTTGTAAGAAATATGATCGGAGCACTCCTGAATACCCTACCATCGGGTGCCGCTATTTTCAGCAACAAAAAGATGATGGGAGGGGGGTCGGCTACCTAAAGATAGAAATTTTGGAAACATGACAACGAGGGATTCTATGACAGCATAGGCCACGGTACGTACCATCTCTCCATCATATACCTTATATTTCATAGCCAAATTTCTCAGCCCTTTCTCAAAATGTTTCGCCATAATTTTGAGGAATGTTGCACAAGAAACTTGATTGACATGTGCCCGAATTTGGGAGTTGTTGGACGTTGAAATTAGGGCATTTCGTAAGGAAAGTGTGGTATGGTCTGTTCGCAAACGTGGGTTTCGCAACAGGACAACTAAACAATAGATATCGCGTATCAAATATAAACTGTACAGTGCTTCAGATAGATGATTATACAATCTAAGGTTGTAATCTGCCTTTACGCGCTACTTCTGTTGTTAGTTTTGAAACAATTGTGTGATTGTATAGCCGATTCCGAAAGCGTCGATTTTGGCGCATCTGTCCCGTCAGTTTCCCAGTCCCTGGGGTATGCCTGGAACGTCATGTCGGAATACCAGCTGTATGGATCATGTTCAACTCTGGTACCCCCTTGTTCCAACCCTACAACACTCCGCCAATGTTCAGACATAAACCAGCAACCAGCAGCCGCAAATAACTGTTAATTTTCTAACATTGCTGCATATCTAAAACGCTAGCGTTTATAGACAAAGCAAGGGTATCTAGAGGGCGTATATTGCTGGTATTTCCCAAACATCGGGCTTGTTTTCCGTATCGGGTATCGCCCGTATACGGGCGGGGTGAGGCATGGGGTGGGGTTGGCTGCACCACAGGTGGGGGCGTGTGGTGTTTCTAAATTTATGCAAAACAGACTATCAAATATCATCCAGGGAAACTGCTTCCTGGGACATGTAATTTAGGGTTCTTTTAACACATCGTAAAATTGTCATAACTTGAAACGAATTCCTGGATCAACTTGGAATATATGTATCAATGATATTCTTTCCTTGCTTTTTTATTGAGTGATTGGGCAATGTCTTAAATCGTTGTTTTCCTGTGTAATACTTTCACTCATGAAACACTTTTACTGGCTCTATTTGATAACAAGGTAATATTATATAGTTAGTATATAACAGGCCTCAGACCCATGATTTACGTTCCATAAAAAAGCTCCGTAAACATACTGCCGCCTGGCCCTGTAGTTTTTTAAGACCTTTAATAATTATTCAATTTCAAATCACTACAGACGCCTGATTCATGGGTACAGGAAGTCATCTTATATAAGGTCAAGGTCAATACAATTTTGAAATAATATTTTTTCACGTGTGCGTGAAGCACGTCTTTCCTGACAACCAATAGAAAGCCATCAGCATTTTAGATACGTAGAATAGAAAACATCTTTGTGTTTTATACATTTTTATAGCTTACCACATGTATTTTCTTTCTGAACTGAAGTTTATATTTGACCTTTGTTTTCGAACCAAGATGGCGGACGAAGAGGACGAGTTGGAGTTCGAAGAGTTCGGCGGCTGGGGAGCGGACGCGCCGGCCAACCGCCCGACGGCTCCCGGCCCGGAGAGGCCGCACGCCCCGGAGCCCGGCATGTCCCCCTCCCCCGAACCCGTCTCCGCCTTCGGCCCTCCCCGCCCCGAACCCCCGCCGCCCATGGAGGTCGACGGCCCCGCACAGGTTGGTTGTTTCAAAGAACTTCATTAGTGATAGTACATATATATATAACTAGAAAGGCAACATTTGCAAAGCAAATGCATAATGTTTACCTTCGCATATTGTCTGCTCTGTTAATTCTTACTCAAATACATTCATATATATGGTCAGACAGGAGTATAAATCCCTCCTGCTATAAAATTGCAACATGATGTAACCCAACACCAATTACCATGGTAGACGTCAACAAATCAGGTCATTGGCCAGGTCAGAGGTCAGTGTTTGGAACGGAAGAAGAAGAAGAAACGTAGCAAAAACATGTTTCCTTCGGTAAACATAAATATACATCCTTCGCTACTCTTCCTGGGTCTTAAATAACATATGTTACACATATAGCATACGCACAACATCGAAAATTATACCCATTTCATCAAATTTGAGTACACAGTATATACATACTAGTATATACATTCTTCCATTTACTTCATGTACCAGGTCCCGGATGAAGCGCCGCAGGTCCCGGATGAAGCCCCCAGTGCGCCTACTCCAACCGAGGCCCCAGCCGAAGCACCACCAGCCCCAGCTGAAGAACCTTCTCCACCGGTAACGGAAGAAGTTAGACCTCCTCCTCTTGAGGAAACGCCTGCAGAGGAACCGGAGAAGAAGGAAGAGAAGGAGGAAGAGATTGAAGAGATGGACGAAGTTGCCGGAATCTACGAGGCGAAACAGAAGGAGGAGGAGGAGAAGAGGAGAAAGGAAGAGGAGGAAAAGGGAGAAGACAAACTTTGGAAGACCAGGGTTTGTGTTTTGCTAAATTTTGGGCAATAGCCAAGACTTTAGAACTTATGGAGGATGAATGCAGTGGGCTTCATCGAATTATAGGGAGGTTTGGGCATTTCGGAAAGAGCTCTCTGAGCCGATCATAATTTGCCGAGGGTATTAACATACCCCATTGGTGTAAAAAAAAATGCATGCGAGAAAACAACTTAGGACTAGTACCGATTTGTTCTGGCATACGCAGCTACATGCTGCGTTAGCCTAGAGAAAGTAGACTGTAGAAATTAGACTGATGCAATTGGCATCTCTCTCTTCTGTAAAAATGTGTTCTTCTCGTCGTTTGATTTTACCGTCCATACTCCCCACAGGATGACCTGAAAATGGAGCTGCTGGAGGCGGCAGTAACCGGTGACATCATGACTGTCAAGGATATCGTGCAGCGGGGCATCGACATCAACGGCGGAGACGAGGTACAAAAACTTTACCTTCACGGTATTTCCTTTTACATACGCCAAACAGTATATCTCTCCTGAAAAGAAATCGTCATATTTGTGATACAAACAGTTGAAGGTAACTTTTTTTCCTGTGTATTATCGTGTAATCAAAGTTTAAGTTATATTGTATCACTCATATATGATAGGCTAGTGTTAAGTCTAAAATATGTGAAATTCTTTACCTCATCTTGAAGCTTTATTTCTGTTGGTAGAAGTCAATATGTTGATTGTGATAATGGACAGTGGTTGTTTACTAGCATTTGTTTTATCATTGTGTTTTGAATTTGCCTGTTGATCATCACTGTTTTCATATGTGTTTGTTCGTTCGGGTGTCTGTTGATGCACATTTCACTCCTTTAGGTTCCTAACAAAGGCTTTTTATGCTGCTTCAGGGCTGACTCGTCAGTATTTTATTTCAACAGGATTTTAGAGCATCTATAGCCTATCTGCCATAATCTCGATGAATCATGCATGATGCAAACTGAAAGTAAAAAGGGTCTTACATTTGGCAAGCTTTTAAATATGTCTAAGTGTTAGTCTAATGCTTCGCAATTGCGCGACATGACTAAAGCTTTGACTTTCGCATTTTCCAGTGCCGCCTTTCCTTATTTCTTTCTTAGGGAGCATCATATGGCCGGCCAGAGCAATGCTTAAAGATGTTACAGCAACCTGCGTTCTAGTAAACACAGGAAGCGCTGCGTTGCTTAGTCGCTTCAATGAAACGACTGTTCAGTTGCTTCTATGCTTTAAGTCCGCGAACGCTTTGCCATAATGCTTTTAAATAGCGCTTTTAGTGTTATTTTATATTAGCTTCTTGCACGCGCGCAATACTATAAAAGGAGATTGAGATAAAATGCTGACTAAAGAACTATCCCTACCTGTTTTACGTTGCGACAAACATTCAAGTGATTGGAATTGGAAATTGGCAACGTTTTTTTGACCACCTCACCTGTAGTTCCAAAGGAACGCCCTGCATAGGTCAGCCTGCGAGGGGCACATGCGAATCGTCAAGCATTTGGTAGTCAGCGGCGCCAACGTCGATACGAAGGATAAGGTAAGCTGCGTGGAGCGCTACTGCGCAGGTTTCAGCTTGTGTCCAGGGACCAATCAGCAGGCGCGATGATAGATATGTATTTGACGTCATTCCTCTGACGTAAGACTTTCTAATTCTAAGTTATTTGAATATAAAGATTGAAGAAATATTAAAATTATGTCAATTAATTAGAAATCAATTCAGAAGGAACTTCGGCAAAGGAATGACGTGGCGTCTTGCGATTTGCTAACGACTTATTTGAATTCTCCATGGCAACAGACACGTGACGGGGACGACACAACACAACCGTGAGTACCAGTAGAACGCTGGGCTGGACTTGTCGCTTGCGGCGCGGTCACATTCGTCGTAGGCGATCGTACGACAATCGTATGACGGTCGTAAGACGATCGCACGACATCTGTACGACACTGGCAAAAATGCCCACAGATTGCGATCGTACGCATTTTGCGATCGTGAAAATCGTAAGACGATCGTACAACAATCGTACAACAATCGTATGGCGATCGTGCGACAATCGCACGACGAATGTGAGCGGGTCCTTACGTTAAGTGCTTTGCTTGCTTCTGCCGTGCACAGTTCAACAGAAACGCCCTGCACAGGGCGGCCTGCGAGGGACACGTCCGCATCGTCAAGCATCTGGTCAGCAACGGCATCAAGCTGGACAGTTCGGACAAGGTGAGGTAGCAAGGCAAACTAACCAAGCTTCGCTGGCTTTGCAAGATTCACTAATCGTCGAACTGCTACTTGATTTGTTCCTACAATAGTGTCACACTTTTCACCCGTAAGTAGCAAATCATGTTTCAGACCCTCGTAGATAATCATTTAACGCTATCGTTCTTATTTTGAGTGACGAGCCAAGGTTTCTGCAATGTTTCAAGTTATTTTGAGGTTCAGAAGTATAAGAAAGCTATGTATTCCCAAGAAGCTCATTGTTTTACCCGTATATCTGACTCTCATATGTTATGTTTAAGCTCCATATAGACTGTCCAATGGTACAAGGTCTATTCACTGTTCAATGGTACGTTTCATTCCAACGGATATCAATACACTGATAGAATGGCATTATATTGCTAGATCTAATGAGCATTTCCACTAAAATAAAATCTCTTAGACCATAGGTCCATGCATAGACTGAATCTGTGTTTAACCGTCTGTAGTTGGGAAGCAGCGCTCTCCATTGGGCCACGCGGTTCGGACGTCACGCCATCGTGGACTACCTCATCGACAACGGCGCCAAGATCAACGCCAAGGACAGGGTGAGACAACCGAGTTACCAGAGGAAAATTGGAATACATATTTCCCAAAAACTAACACTTAAAACCCGCATATACGATAAACGTAGCCTCCACCAGGCCATTCTACGGGAATACGGATCGTAGATTTCGGCCAAAAAAAAAAGAGTAAAATTGGCCAGGGGAGTCCGGACGGAAGGTTGTTTCTTTCCCTCCGGCCAGTCAAACCCCAAGGCGGCCAAACTCTGCTGGCAAATATTCTCCTATAAATAGCCAGAGTAGTTAGTCTGGTAGAGACTACGATAAACGCCAAGAACAGGGTGAGACAACAAGTTACGGGGGAAAATTGGAAAAAAGGATTCCCCCCATTTTGGTCACATGACTATTTACTTCCAGACAGACCTTTTCTTGATTAGGATTCGTTGATATAAATATTCAAATTCATATCGAATGTTAAGGTTCACAAACTACACAAAATATAAGTTTCAACATCAAGCTTTTGGCGAGGCGTTACGCTGCTCACTTGCTGAGATGTATTTACACCCTCCTTACGAAAGATATGAAAAATTTGCTTATCAATACGCATTTCTGTATACCCCAGAGCGGTGCTACACCATTGCACGTAGCCGTGCGGGTGGGCTGGTGGCCGGACATGGTGGAGAAACTCCTGGACCGGGGAGCGGACATCAACTGCAAAGACTGGGTAATTAATCACAATCAATTATTCATCTTTTAATTTCATACTTAAGACTAAGATACAGAATGTTGTAAGAGCTTATCTACGTCTCTGTGAGTTGTTAGGGTCCGGACTGTTGCGGCTACGTGCAGTACTACATGTAGAAAACTGTCATAAATGTTACAAAAGCACGAGTAAAACAGTTAACCAAAGCTGGCGATGTCAGATACTCGTAGATATGCATGGGCAAAGGGTTGCCCATAAGTTGGTCCACCAACCCCTGATATCTAGATCTTAGATCTACGCGTAATAATTTTGGGGTATTTTCTGCTACAGGAAGGAGACACGCCCACCCACGACGCGGCGAGAATGGGCAGAAACAACATCCTGCGGATTCTCATCAAGAGAGGAGCCGACATTAACATCAAAAACTTTGTAAGAAAATTCTTTATACTTTGTCTACAAATACAAAAGAAAACAGATGAAGGTTTGTTGGTTGTGTCTGATCAAGTATTCCAGCAACACAAACTTTCATTTTAAAAGTCAAGGTGTTCAAACACAGGTTGGCTTTGAAACATGTTCTGTTTTAACCTTGGGCCAGTGAGCGCTGCCATGTTGGTTTCTGACGTCATACGTCAGCCATCTTGTTTATTTACGTTTATGGACGTTACATTGATTGGTTGTTGCTTTGTCGCTTTGACAGGACAAAAGCCAGCCGTTTGACATGACAAAGGAGTGGCAGCTGGAGACGAGGGACTGCCTGACGACGGCCATGGAGATCGGCAAGCTGAAGGAGCTCATGGCCAGGAAGGATAAGGAGTTGTCCTTGAACCAACGCTAAGGAAACTTCTTAACATCTTAAAAAGATTTATCTTTCTCACAAATCAAGCACCTTTATGTTTAAGCTATGGATTATGGGTAAGGTCTGAGGTTTAAAGGCCAAGGAGGATAAGGAGAATTGCCCCTGAGTTTTAACCAACGCTGAAAACATCTTAAGAAGAGTTATCTTTCTCACAGATCGAGCACCATTATGCTTATAAGGATTAAGGGCAAGATCAGAGGTTTAATGGTCAAAGAAAGTGAGGACATGTCCTTAAACCAGCTGAAATAAAACATCTAAAGCTTCCTCATAGATCAAGAGGGCTTATGGGTAAGGTCAGAGGTCCCTCAGACCCACGTTTACAAGTGTGAGGCCTTAAACTCTGAACTTACAACACAATGCGCTACAACTGCCCATGCTCACTAAGAACTGTGAGGTGGCTTATAATCAATTACTCCCAGCATGCTTTGAACTGGTGCTATCCCAGGCTGCTTCTCGCATGCCCGACAATACAAATTCTTCTCTTTTCTTCTTGTCCGAATGGTTGGAAAAATGCGCGTCCCACAAACAGATGCAGTAAAACGCCAAGATATGTCTTAAAATCACCTCCGTTCTGAAACATCGCAATCACGCAATATGTATTACACATTTGTAAAACGCAATTGAGAGAAAAAAAGAGACATATGCAGACTATAAAATATCTAATATTTGTATCTGTTTACATGGTCACATATTCCACAAATTTTTTCTAGGACTTGAAACGTCCCATTCTAGGACTACTACTGATAAAAATATCAAACTTTCTCGTCTATCATCATATGCATGTAGATAGTTAAAACATATCTACATAAAATGCATATTTTACTTATTATTTAGAAATATATGAAGATTTGATATTTGACTTCTGATGTGTGTTTGGTGTAATGCATGGAAGAGGAAACTGTTTTTCAATCTTTCAAATGCATTCATAGATACTAAATACTACTATTGATGTACTATTGATGTACGATTCGTATCAAATGCCATAGTCATAGAATCAACATGTCACTCTGAACTTGACATAAGTCAATAAATGCTTTTGTCATCTACTTCATTATTACTAATGTCTAGGAAATATACTCCACAAAGATGTTACGACTATGAGTACAATTACATCATATTCATTTTATTGCACAGATAACTTAGATATTGGTTCAATGGGGGTCAAGGACAGTATAGGCTTTCCGGTCCCTGAAATCGTATGATTCGAACCCATTTGCCGCCATTTTGTTTATTGTCACTGACGATCTTGCTGACCGACCGCATCCAAACGCTACCCACAGTTTGGATTAGAATCTCTGCACAATTCATAACTTGGCCAGTTCGTTCTCATGCTGTAGAAGGGAACGATTGATGTCTTTGATTTTCTTACAGCCTGCAAAGAGAGAGAGAAAAGCATCAACCATGAACATCGTTTACTTGTATGCAGAAAAGTTTGATCCTACAAAATAAGTACTGTATCAAACCCACCTGACAGAGCCATGGCCAGACTTAGTTCATCTTTGAGTATCTGTAGAACGTGTCGCACACCCTCTTCTCCCTGCAAAATGTAGCAAAACCTTTGGTAGTCATGCGTACACAGAATACATCATATTACATACATTTTTTCTTTACACCAGAACCGTGCCTGGGGCAAGTCTATGTTCTTGGACGCGCTGAGACCATCTAGAACCTGGATACGATATTGATGACATTAACTTACTTTAAATCATAATCCCTGAAGTTCAAACTCACGCTGTGTGCCAGTCCCCAAAGCGGCGGCCTCCCCACGAACACAGCCCGAGCGCCGAGAGCCAGGGCCTTCATGACGTCAGTGCCCTGCCTGATGCCTCCGTCCATGTACACCTCCACACGCCCGCCAACTGCGCGGACTACTTCCGGCAGGACTTCGATCTGGGTTAGCGAATAACTTCATCAGGTTGGAAGGTCATAGAAAATTACAGTTTTTTTACATCACACCAAGACTCAAGGAACTGGATAATAAGATAGCATCCAATGTCTTTCTTTCATCTGTGACTGAGAACAAGTACGAAGACAAGCCACCCAGCCAACCAGCCAGCCAGCCAACCAACCAATCACTCAATCACTCAGTAAATAAAACCGTTCCCCAGACCTTACCGTGGCGGGAACACTGTCCAGCTGCCTGCCTCCGTGGTTGGACACCCAGACGGCCTGGACGCCATGTTGGACCGCCATCTTGGCGTCCTCTGACGTCATCACGCCCTTCAGCACGATAGGCATGCTGGTCACGGACTGGAACCAGGCGATATCCTTCCAGGACAGCGAGGGGTCAGTCGCATCAGCTGGGAAGGCGTACTTTCTCTGGGAACAATAGCAACAACATCACCATAAGGGCAATGAGCAGCAAAGCGTCACAGGCTGGAAGAATATGAGAGAGAGAGAGAGAGAGAGAGAGAGAGAGAGAGAGACGACGGAGAGAGACGAAAGAGAGAGGGGACAGAGAGAGAGAGAGGAGAGAGAGAGACGACAGACAGAGGGAGAGAGAGTTAATATCAGTTCACGGACGTTTGATGAGCCTTTTTCTACAAGAATTTAAAGGTTGCATTGGACCGGTTGCGACACAACCTCACCTTCAGTTCATCCCCAAAGTTGGAGATCTTGATATGTGGCGGGACGTGGAAGCCGTCCCGTGTCATGGCCCGTCTGTTGCCGACGACCGGCACGTCTATGGTGATGACCAGCGCCTTGTAGCCGAGCTTTTCCACGTGCTGGATCAGTCTGGCATGAAAAAAAAAACAAAAGATATAGATGTCAGGCTTCCTGAGGTTTCCGTAGCCGTCAACTTTATAGAAGAGAGGGGACAGTAGGGTGTAACATAATCTGTATCTGTATAGCCGGTATAACCGCCCTTCGGCGTAACACACCAGCTTCGACTCGGCCATCGCCATTACACCACTTCCTGATTTCCCCCACATACTACCCACTTACTGTCAACCAGCTCGTTCTCGGTCACTTTCAGGCTTTACCATCCAATGAATCAACTGTCAAAATCACCTCCCGCCCACCATGCAACCAGAGCTATTACGATGAACAGAGAGACAACCCCACGACTCAGGCACCCAATACTTCATGGTCAGTGGTCAACGCTACAAAATGATTATAACTCACTTAATGCTTTATACCATTAATACATTAACTGATACCGTACATATATCGTCATTGTAAATGACGTTCCCACCGTTTCATGAAGTCCCTTTCCCGCGTGACGTACAGCTGGAACCACTTAAGGGCCGACGGCGCGACGTCAACCAGCTCCTTAGGCGTCGACGTCGCGAACGTCGGTAACGTCATACAGACGTTCATGGAAGCAGCAGCTTGGAGAAAAACGATGAAAAACGAAGGCGTTATGAGCAGTATACTTCCTCTTTACTTCCGGGTATGGAAGTATTGTTTTGTGCGGCTTTGAGCTTGTATGTGTTTCGTATCCGGACAGAGTAGGTCGACGGTAACTTAAGAATGTCTTGATGAGTTGTTATGGTATTTGGTAGGTGTGTATATCTTGGGAAGACGAAGGTCAAGTTCGATTTTGGGCCTCCTGGCAGCTTTCTGCGGTACTTACTGAGGCATAAGTTCGTATCTTAGTCAAGCAAAGATCTTGTTCTGTAAATATTGACATTAAACTTTAATGGCTGCAATATACAGATATTACGATAGACGTCCCCACTGACACACATACAAGACCTGAAAAAATTGAGGAAAATGTTTTTTTTAAGATAACAAAATAATTAAGAAAGAGAATGAAAGCATACCTTTCATCATACACAAAGACCCATCTTGCCAGGCGAATTCATGTAGCCCGGTGGGCGCGATGCAAACAGGAAAGTCCACCTTCTCACCCAAAATCGTAGTAGTAAGGTCCCTGGTCGACACGTCACGTAGCATTCTCGGCTTTAGCCTGATACTGTAAAGTTGTGAGGCAGTAACATCATACCAATAAGCTGACTTAAAAATTGGAATAATAATCATTGCATATGCATTTTTAAAAGTTATATGCTTGTTGCTCTTGCTCTATAATGTACATTTAGTTTGCAATGTCGCTTATAATGCAATATAATATAACACAATGTAATATAATATAATATAATATAATATAATATAATATAATATAATATAATATAATATAATATAATATAATATAATATAATAATAGCGATCCTTATATCCATTCAATTAATCGAGGCATTTCCTTGTTGCTTGGTACAAATGTGCTCAACTTTTCTCTCAATATCATATTAAAGTAACAGATACATTAATATATATATATACGTTACAACTACAGTATATGGTGTCTTAGTATTGGCATATGGTTCATTGTTTTCTAAGATACATGTACTAACCGTCGAAAGGCGGCTTGATTTTCTCTCAAAGTCTGTTCGTCGTCCGCCCCAGACGAGAAATAGTCCCAGGCACTTTTCGACAGATGCTTCCGCGCGTAGTCTTCGTAGTCCTGAACACAGACCAACTTCCCGGCAGCCATCTTGTTTCAGACGACAACTTGTTGTTGCACCAAATGCCTCACAAGTCCGCGTTCATTTAAAAGCTTCTCCCCTAGCATTACTTCATTGTGATCATGACGGTACAGTACATAGATATGACAACGAGTCAGATACAAGGTTTAGAAAGGCGTTCATGCGTTGCATGAGCTTTTGCCAAAAGCTAGCAGACGGTAAACTGGAATGCTTGTTACCTTGGTTAAACTTTGACCACTGACCAGACAGACGTATTTAGTTATCCATTAATCAAACCATCAGGAATAAACCAATAAAGACATTAGGGGGTACGTAATGTAGCATACAGCTTTGTCCATTGTGCTCTTGTTTTTTCAAGCTGCATTTTAACATGTTATGCCACACTGACTAAATTACTTATATATGTATATGGGTGGCATCCTATTAAATTGGGGTACACAGAGGGTGTCATCCATGAACAGTTTTAAAATGACCCTAAATAGAGGGAAATGTACTCTCCAAGCAGAGTTTTGGGTTTTAGGCTTTTTTGGCGTGTTTTTAGGCTCTTTTATAGGGGTTTCTTTTTTGCACTGGAATTGGGTTGGGTGAAAAAAAAATCCAGTGCAAAAAAGAAACCTCGATAAAAAAGCCTAAAAATAACCCCAAACCTCTGCTTGGAGGGTAGGAAAAATGCTGGATTGCGTCAGTGGGGTTCGTGGGATTCGAACCCACGTCCGAACCTGCCTCATGGGTTGGTCCGTTTTCCGTTTTCTTTGTTTTTCTGTTTTTGTGGGGCGATGTACCCACTCGACTAAGCCAGCACAGTCAACAAACGCCGCATTATTTCCCTATGTACATGCACATACGCAATCAGCCTGTCAATTACATGTTCTATCTAGAAGACATTTAATGTAAATATCACACGATTCCATAAGGTGTACGGAATTTGTTTGGTGTGTTTAATATTATCTTGTTGCTAAAAAGTGCTGGATGGCGTCAGTGGGTCTAAAGGGGTGCGGGATTCGAACCCGCGTCCTTTGCATTAGCAGTGCAAATTGTAACCATAGTGTACGAAGTACCCACACGACATAGCCAGCACGACCCTGGCAGCTAAACACAGCCTTATAAACCTGCGGCCCTGTCACTAGGGCAACGAGTGACGTCATGCGGGCAAAGGACATAAAGGGTGACGTAATGCTAAGGGCGTGGCGCCACCTTGCGATCATGGAAGTTATTGCAGCACAAGTACACTAGTTACGTCATTCTGGAAAGTACAATTACTAGTAGTAGTCCTTAAATGGCCCATAATATTCACAGGTATGTGTCATTCACGTCTTTTGCCATTTTTTCCTGTAGCTAAATCGTTGTGTCGCTATGTTCATCGCTTGTTTTCGTCATAGCTACATGGTTTGCGGTTGAATTTCGCAAATTATTTGAATATTTCGTCCGAGGAGGTTCAATCATATGTGGTCAGTTGTCACTGTGAGCGCACATCTAGTGTCCTGAATTGTCTCCAGATCCAAATGAGTTATCCTGGGAACGAGACGCAAAGGTCACGCTATGACCCTGACCCGGGTAAACAAAATGGCGGCCAAAGTTTGACGTGATGATTATGTTCGGGATTCGATCATAAACTTTGCCGTTGTGGCTAGTGTACTGAAGGGTTTTTCGACGAAAGATCTGTTTCTATAGGTCAGGTAGGTCTCGCAATGTTTAAGGTAAGCCGGGGTACCCAGGAATGGGAATGGTGTACTCTCCAAGCTAAGGTTCATTGGCAGGCTTTTTTGGTCTCCTTCCATGTATTCTTTTAATTGACATACCAATTGTTGACCAATTGGACATTGCCTTATCTATTGTACGCTATATCTTTCCTGCTGGTTACGACTTTGCCATGTTTACAAATTAATGCAGTCGCATGTCATGTATTTTGTTCATTGTGGATTTCTTTCATGCTACGTGTAATTAACTAATTAGGCTTCGGGCAATATTAATTACAACTAGAGTTCGGAGGTCTCATGCCTTCGACAGTGTGATATTGTTTTGGTGGGTGTTGTGTGTGTGTATAGTGTAGGTTTTTTGTGAAGATGATTATCGTAGTGAACGAAGCAACAGACTATTCACCAAGCCTGTACCATGTCTTTCTACGGAAATACGGATCGTAGAATTCGGCAAAAAGAAGAGGAGAATTGGCCTGGGGAGTCTGGCCGCGAAAGGTTGTTTTCTTCCCTCCGATACGCGGTGATCCAAACTTCAAAACGGCAAAAACTCCTTCAACTAAATTATTCTTCTATGCAGCCAGTGTTGTTGAAGCGTGCGATGTCCAATACATTGAAGACAATTGCAAGTTACAAAATCACACAAACTGGCCAATTGTTGTGATGGTATGTGGTATGTAAGATAAATGGGTTCCTCCCGGTGAGTTGTATCTCTCTAGCGGGCTATCTGACCCTTTAGCGGCATACTATTCCCTTTATTTTGGCCGTTTTCTACTATTTTTCCAGTGATCCATGGTGCCTGGTAGAAAGTTAATCTTCCTCCACAAAGAGAAACTCATTTATCATATATGCCTTACTTGTTAGAGGGGCCGTCGTATCAAACTTTTAGCAGGAAACAGCCCGACTTTCTATTCCAGCCCGGATAGTGGTATAGATTAGCCCAGGTCCTCCGGGGACGTTCCCAGAGGTACGACTGGCAGGGCTGAGGTCAGCCTCGGGTGACCTACCTAACCGTCCCAGTCTATCCTGTCAATGCAATTTATCCTGGATAGAATTCAAATAAAATATGTATCCTAGTTGCAATTTAACAATCTTCAATTTTTGAACAAGTAGTTATTTACTGGTTATTTCTCAGGTTGGCGACGCAGTTTGGCTATGTTAGTTTTCTTGTGGGGGCCCATCGGACCATAATATGGTCGTGAAAATCTATCCTTTCAATGGCAGGGCTTCTCTATTCCCTCTCCACACGACCCATTATGAAGAAGATTACAGGCATCAAACTCAAAGTCATTCATAGAATACCGCCGTGCTCCTCGCTAAAGCCACAAAGCTTATAAAGATTAGATACTGCTCAATGCGTTCAGACCACTTCCTTCTAGTGACCTGGCCATTGTGTACAGTATACCAACTATGTTATCGATTAAAACAAAGTTTGTGACCTTATATCGGGTTTAAATCTTTAACTCCTGTTGCATTACGATACGATATGCACAAATGTACTACACAAGACTGCACAAATGTACATGCTAATGTTGTAGGTATTACGGGAAACCTATTCACATTATCCATATTCCAGATTTACCTGGGTGCCAAACTGAGATACTTTGTGTCCAGTGTGCTATGGGTCTGGCAACCAGGCTAATTCCAGATGTTCACACTGGGGGCCACAGACCTGTCAAATAAAGCACGCTCTGCTGGGGCACTGGGCCACTAATGTTTTTTCAACAAACAATTTCAAAGAAAACGTTTTTTCAACTAAAACCAATGTTGACAGCTTCCTGTCTGTAACTTGTTGTTTTAACCTAGATATGAATAGGTTTCCTGTATTCCCTACAACATTAGCGTGTACATTTGTGCAGTCTTGTGTCAGGGTTTACAAATTTTACAAGAGTTATGCAGTTGCTCCAGTACATGTAACAAATATTAATAAAAAGAAAGATTGCCTTTTCTACATTGTACATTATGAATGATGTATCTATGTGTGTTTGAAGGCTGGCCGAGTCGTTAACCCAGCATTAACCCAGTATTAAAACTTTCAGTATTAATGCAGCATTAAGCGCCACTTTCGCCAATTTCGCAAGGATTCTGTTGTTTCAACAAACAGGAAAGTTTTTTCCAGCTATCCTTGTGGGCATAAAGCAATGTAATCCACAGAGGGTGGAAACCAAAAAGGTCTAGTGCAGTATGAAAGACATATAGATTTCTCTTATTAATTAATCAAATTGGGTCACAATTTACATAATTAATATCTGTCAATGTTCCTCTTCCTCTTGTTTAAATATGCCACCATTTCAATTGTTCTATCATGGAACGCAGCAGATTTATAGACTTTTGTCATTAATTATGTAAATTAGATTGTGATTTGCATAATTGTCATCTAATTAGGTCAAGCATCACTTAAGCTACCGAGATACCAAAAATAACAACAATCCGTCAACCGGTTCTTGAGCTATCCTACTTCAAACATTTTCAAACAAATGCCTCTGCATTTCCCAAATAAGCTGCTACGGGGCCCAAACTTACGGCACTTCTTTCTGAGCACGAGAGCTACCTACCATCTAAAAATCATGACCCTAGCACGTCCATATCACGAGATTTAAAAACCAGAAGTTTCGCTGCAGTACTTTCTAATTCAATGACGTGGGGACCCCCCACGAAGCCCATATCCGAACTTGACCTTGGTATTGTCAATGGTAACTTGCCAACTAAAAAACTTGAACATCCATTTAAAGATTCTCGAGTTATCTTGATGACAAGAAAAAACACAAGAAACAAAGGTCAACTGCAGTGACATAGAAACCCCCACGGGGCCCATCTTTGAACTTGACCTCGGCATTTTCAACGGTAACTTGCCCACTAAAAATAATGAACATCCATTTAAGGATTCTCGAGATATCTTGATGACAAGGAAAAAACACCAAAAACCAAGGTCAACTACAGTGACTTAGGAACCCCCCACGAAGCCCATTTTTAGCCTTGACAATGGCCACCCCTAAATCAACCTGCCTGCCAAAAATCGTGAACCTCGGACCTTGCCTTCAAGAGTTATCGTGCCTAATCTGCCAAACAGTGCAAACCCGATTTCATAACCTTCTCCGAAGGCATAGCCTTCAGTCGAAGGCAATAAACACTCCATAATCAAAAGACACGATGACCCTATTTTGCACAAGATGACGGCTTTTTATTTATTATTTTGCAGAGAGCAGTGTAAAGTACGAACATAATCTATAATACTGTGAGTGTGGTCAATACACAAAAGCATGTTATTATATACTGTCACAGAGGTCGTATTTTGTAAGTAGAGTTGTTTTTTGCTGACACGGACAAGTGTGAATACAACGACGAAGGCTGTGTACAACGCACCTTGTGGTGACAGGTTAGTACAGAACATACATAACATTTCATTTTCCTTCATTGCAGCCCAGTTTTGACTTACTTAAACATTATTATGTAAAATGGTATCGAGATGTCAATGATTTTACATCGTTGTCGTATCTTAATACTAGAATGCTTTTCGTACTGGAATGTTTTGCTGTCGACTTTTTGTCATGGATACATAATGCAACATGCAACAATAACTAGATTTTATGTCAAATATTATTTTTTTGGAGTGTTTCTGTCCGAGTAAAATCATTGGCACCTATACAACCGTTATAATGTCTTTCTACAAACTATGAAATATCTTGAAGAAAAAAAAAATTCCACAGAATATGGCCAAAACAACTAACGGGATTACCAAGTTACTAGAATTTAAATCATTTATACTTTTGAAGACTTGGTTGTGACGAATTATATTTCATATTTTTCTTGTAGAAAGACAATACTGTACTGGATATATAGTACTGGATTAAGTATAGTGTTAGTGTATATATATGGCTTTTTTCTACAAAACTTTTAAGTAGATATTGTTACAACATTTCCCCCTCCCCAAAATCCATTTCAATACTCAAGACTTTGTCAATTTCGGCATGCCCATCGGACAATTTCACCTTGGTATATGATTCCCCGTCAATATTCAAACACTATATAAATTTGACACAATGTAGTTTTCATTTTCAAAAAAAAAAAAACAGTTTTAACGGATTAAGTCTCTTCCCCCAAAACGATCATTTTTGTACACAATGAAATTTTCAAAACTTTTATTTTTTCACTCTCATCTTCACACCCACTTACAATTTACCCGTATCTACATCAGCAAAATAAAAATGTACTAAGTTGTGTGTATACAATACTCAAAAACAGTTTCTATGTATCTACGACAAGGAAATAATAAAAGATATATTTAGTATTATGTGTGTTGTATACTGTAAATAAAAGGTGGCATATTCTCGTGACGTTTCAATCGAAAAAATCTATATTTAACGTGACATTGACTTAATCTTTCTACCTTCGTGTCTGAAATCCGCCTGAAGCTTCTTTTTCTAAAATACTCCAAATTTCTTGTCACGCAATTCTGTCTGTTTCCATACACTGCAATTCTCCACACTTTTGCTTCATGTGAATCCAAAAACGTGAGGTTGTTGGCTGTTATAGACAAGAGGTTCCCCTATTGGCCAGTTTCCTTGAAATCTGACTGTACGCAATGAAACTGACCAATCAGGTGGATGGTTATGACCAAGTTTATGTAATACTGTTTGAACATAAAGTCCATAGTAAGAGTTCAATGAATAGGAATCGTTAATTTTATTAACGAAAACAAGCCAATCAGGTAGCTTCTTTTTAAGCTAGGCAGAGGATTGCAATGCTGAAGAAAAGTGTGGAGAATTTAGCAGCAGATCAGTCCGGAAGTCTAGTTCTGGCAGCTCTTGGTCTTGGTTGCCTTGGCAGCGCACTTAGCCTGGTCCCCAGACAGCACCGGGCGGCTCCTGGTCTTCACGCCCTCCACGCACTCACCGAAGTCTCCCCACGGTCCGAACGTGCACTTGGCTGCATTAACGGTAAACAAAAGTCATGTATTTAGATGTTTATGAATGAATGGATTTCTTAATTTTGGGTACATTGAAAGACACAGTACAAGTACAAATATGTATGTACAATGTGCATGCATTCACAAAAAGACTCATTAAAAATATTAATATGAGTTTCTGCGTCCATTTTTTCAAGACAAAAGGGTGACTAAATGGGGGCTGGCCTGTGTACTGGCCCTGTGTATTTCTTTTATAACACTAAAATAGGATTTGTATTGTTATATCACATTCTTATTTACTTATTCATTTTCCATTGCATCTGTACTTTTTTGTGGGTCAGCCGTTACCAACCGAGTCTGCCTGTGCTGACTTTGTATTGACTTGTATTCGTATCATTGCCTAGCCAAGGACCTAGCACTGGGCAGCACCACCTTGAACAAAGCACAGAGACTCGCCCAAAACAGAAAGAGATGGAGGGAGCTGGTTGGCCTGGTGTGATCTACGCACTCAGTGCAAGAAGGAATGTGTGAGTATCATTGCTAATACATATAGATATAATATAATGTATATGAATACTGACTCTTCTGTGCCCTGCAGTTCCTGGTCCTGGTTTTGGGCTGGCAGGCGGGGTCGCTGCCTTCCACAGGCTGGCGGGTCACGGTCCGCTTCCCGTCGGTACAGGGGGTGATGGTCGGCTTCTGGAACTGGCACTTCACTCCTGCAACAAGAAATTTGCTTCAATTTCTTAAAAAATTTTTCATATTCCAACATGTCACCACAGGACGTGGTTACGGCACACTCAAGTTTCAACTGATACTAATGCCGCCACAAACACAGGGGACAAGACAATACTCATTTTCACCTGAGCGAAGTGAGGAAAGTCGTGTGAAGTGCCTTTCCCAAGGGCACCACACCACACAGCAGCGCATTTCATACAACAGGCTCGTAGACGTCTAAAAATGACGAATATATGACGAGAACAAAATATGTCAAATATTTAATAGTCTTAAAATATATCAAGAACAATATCCTCTTTTCTAACGTTAAAAATGCCCTAAAAACCCTAGCCCCTGTAGTAGACTTATGGTGTTTAAATAAATAACTAACTAAACAAACAAACAAACAAACAAACAATAAGGCGGACTTACTGCGGCCCTTGCAGCGCTTCTCGATAGTCTTGACCTCGCATGACTCCGGCTGACCTTCCTTCGGTGTCTTGGTGATCGTCATCTTCTTGGTGGCGTCGTCACACTGTCCCCTGGTGACGTCATACTGGCACTTCTCGCGCTTTTCTAAGGAGAAAAAAGTATTAAGAACACGTCAAAGGCATCCAACGCGATTTCAGAGAAGCAAAACTGGAAATGATCTGAAAAAGGCAATCTTTGTGATATTGACACATACTGCTTCACATCAGCACATTTTAATCAGCATTTAATTTCATACTTTTGGCATTTAAAAATGCAGAAACAAGACCCAAGCTGAGTCCTTTGTTTTCTGGGTGGTACCCTAAACATCAGCACAGGGCCCTTCCAGTAACCATTTTCCGTCAGCTTGTTGGGAATTTTTGCTCCATGAGGGTCAATGTACATCGGAATAGTGTGGTTCAGGTCATTGACTTTATTTGTTTAGAGAAGCTAGTAATGCAATCAGTGTTAGTAGGTTCAAAGATTTGGTCCTAACACTAGCAGTTAGAGGTGCAATTTAGTACAAAGGTCGTTCAGTATAATGAAACCAGCTGCTGCCTCTCCGCGTGCCTGGGGCGTTAGCCACTTGCCAAAGGTGGTTATACTGACTGTACAGGTATATAATGTTTTATTGGTAGCCTTTATCCATGCTCACATTTAGATGCCATGTGTCAAAAAAGGTTAACTCGGCCTGACCAAATGTCACAGCGTTATAGGTTATACAGCCTCTTCAAAATGTAATCCCTAGGCTATACGGCGCATTATGTCCTCAAGTCGTTTAGTACTGTTTCTCGGAATAAACGGTTTTAAGGCTTGGTAACCTTTCGGGAGTAGCCGTTAAGGTATTAAGTGTCTTAAAAGATTTAGGAAAAGTCACGTGAAGTTAAGCTCCATCACGTTTTGGCCTTAAAGGGCTTTAATAGTTTTCTGTTTCCCAAAATATATGAATCGTTTTAATGTTTACTAACCTTTAAACAATAGCCGTCAAGACATTAAGTGTCCTAAAAGATTTACGACAAGTCACATGAAGCTTACCTCCACTACATTTTGGTCATTTTCCCCGAAAATAAATTGTTTTGATGTTTGCTAACCTTTAAACAGTAGCCTTCAAGGCATTAAGTTTCTTAAAAGATTTAAGAAAAAGTCATGTGAAGATTACTTCCACTACATTTTGGTCATTAAGTCTTTTAGTAGTTTTCCCAAAAATAAATGTTTTCATATTTGCTAACCTTTAAACAGTAGCCGTCCAGACATTAAGGGACTTAAGCCATGTGAAGATTACCTCCAACATGCTTTGGCTTTCAAGCCTTTATTTAGAAGGGTTTTCCCAAAAATAAACTGTTTTAATGCTTAGGAACCTTTAAACAGTAACTGTTAAGGTATTATGTGTCTTAAAAGGCTATCTATGTGCAATACTGTACTAGACATGTATATAACGAGAAGTATTGATGTCCGATGTACAACTTCCTCTCTTTTCTTTTAACCTTGCGATCTTGATCACTGTTGATCTGCTTTAAAGGGCTGAACGAGGTTTTCTTAATCAGTTCATCTTGTTTTTAATGCTTGCCATGAATTGATAAAGGTACTGTTTAACACAAATAAGAAAGTGACGTGAATCTTACGTTTGCCAGCCAGGGACTGGTGGCACACGGCCAACAGGATCACAAGGGTAAACAGGCACAGGTGACGCATCTTTCTGTAAAAAACAACAACAAATAGACACATTAGTTACTCAAACATATCATTTTCTTAGAATTCCTTACTTTAGGTACTTAACTCATAATATAGTCTTCTAGAAATGAAGACTAGTACCTATCAACTATCTTACATTCTTGACCATGTTCAGAACTCCCGCTATCCCCAACTTCCGCTGCAGTACCAAGGAAAGTCACCAGGGTTCAAAAATTTTTACACTTAAAAATTTCTTTGGTAGGTCAAGACTGAACCACGTCCACATCCCAAATATCAGAACAATCAATACAAATATCCTCTGGAGTTATATTGTTCAACCAGAAACATACAAACGGTAATATTTAGAATCAGAACTTCTTTGGGTAGAGGCATACATAGAAATAGACAAGATCGCCTAGAGTCATTTCCGAGGTAGGAGTTGAGATTGGTAATTAAATTATCATTTTACATCAACAAGACGTCACCGTACGCAAGTTCTGACGCACAGACCCGTGGCAGCACGCCAGAATACACCTCCGCTGTTCCCGTGTGACGTCAAACAATCAGTACATCCTGACTGTTGTTTTTAGACCTCTTGTGTTGAGAGTTCTTCCTGAGTTCCTTGCTTCTTAGTTGCAAAGAATAGACCAATTCAGACCGACAAAAATTGCGTGCGTCACTGGAACAGGGGGGCTTTTTCTACATTGAGTACGCCATTTCATTTACTCCGAACAATGTATGCACATCTTCGTGAGCATATCCAAAAACAGCTAGCAAAAACAGCCCTTGGTGCAAGCAGTTTTTAAGGACTTGGAATTCATCTACTAGTAATCTACTAGTACTAGTAATGGCTCCATCCCCACATCTTATATTCTGTCTTCTTTAAATTCCAGTCATGGACTCGAGGGTAGCTTTATTGCTTTTTGAGGGAATTATGTTAGGTGGATCATATATATTGCCTATAAGTCTGAGTTGGACTAGGCTGGGATTCATACGTATTTATGGGGATTACGAATTCATTGCTATATGGCGTTATAGATGAAGAGTGTGGCGCGCCCACGCAAAGAAAAATGGTGCGATAGCATGTACTACAACACGAATCGAATACTGAAGTAAACTGCTTGGCTCTGTTGGGGGTTGAGCATCTCATTGCTGCATGCTGTAATGTGCTGTGACATTCATATGTCCCTTGAGCTGGAAGGTAGTATCGACCTAGCCAGGTGTGGCGACCGTTGAAGGTAATGAGACCCGGCGTTTGTTATTTCCCAACTGGCGAAACGTTGCAGTTGAAAGGTCGCCATTAATTCACGGCCTTCTTCATCCCGACAAGGAAATTTCGAAACGTCTTGTTTTACAGCCCTAGTTTTCAACCACAATCGATATTTTCAAAATTTTCAAGCTAAATACAAAGGTAACACGTTTCCATACACACACACAGCAGTTTTGACAACATAATGGTTAGATTTACCCGCAAGCAACAGTTTAAAAACGAGCCCCCCGTTCCCAAATTACAGTCCAAATGATTGGCACCTCCCTATAACGGTCAATCGATTTCGAAGACGTGCGTCGCATAATGGACCATCGAACACGTCGAACCCCCTGTTCTATTTCGAATTCGGTGTTCGATCGGGAACGTTCTATTCTGCGGGGAATCTTGTCATGGTTTGAGGTCTGAGCAGCACAACTTTTATAACCTAAACCTCATATTAGTAGATTTATACTGGTTTTTCATTATCATCACAATGGTTATAGTCTGAAGCATCCCCTGGCATCCATGTAAAATATAGCCTCAGCATGTTGGCATATGTACATTGTACTCCAACATGGACAAATATTAAAATCCTGTATTTCCTTGTCGTTGAAACCGACCGGGCAGCTCTGATATAACACCCTTGCACAGACACGTTTCGCCTCGACGATTTTTATTACCTTAAGAGGGCCTCTTTAATCCCATTTTAGTCCGCGTTCATCCAATTTCGTAAACATTCATCGCGTTTCAATCGACTTTCTCTTATCACACCGCGCGAAGCCGCGCCTCAGCGCAAAACTTATTAAGTGTAACTTTCATTTTCCCACAAGGCAATATCGGCGCCGGGGATTTATTCAGGGATGTGGTGGTGATTATTCAAGTCGACACGAACCGACAGCAGGAAGACAGATGGCCCCCAGCTACTCATCGACAAGCTGTCAAACTTCGGCGTTTCAGCCAGGGTGAAAATTGGCCGATAGCTTGCGCGAAAGTCACACTGACCCCTACGTTAATAACTTCCTTTTATTCACCATTTGTTTCTTTTAAATAACTATGTAATGTGTATGTAATTGTATATTGATGTATTGTTATATTTCATGTACTCTCCTGGAAGAATAGTTGTCACCCTCGGGTGGGCAGCTAAAGGAGAGTTTTTCCTCAATAAACCATGCAAAAGATCAACATCCGAATATATGTCATTTCCAACTAAATGATAGAAAGTAGAAAGGGTATAGACAATTGCGTTACTACATACTAGTACGTTGTAACGTACAATCGTAATATCTTGAAAATACGGTCTTTTCTTGAAATTATAAGTTTACAATATTTAACGTTTCTATATGGACTAGAACTCATCTGAGGTAAGTAAGCGTTTTGAACATGTCGGTCAGAAGACTAGCCCTTTGAAAGCCAATATACAGTCGTCTCTGTTATCCATATTTTGATGTATTACATCGATATCCTTTCACATATCTCAGGATCTGTTGACAGAAATTCATTCCGAATATCGATTGGTTTACAGCGTGTGTTTTATTTGACATTAATCGTACTAAACGTTCCCATCAATCACCGCGTGCCAATATGGCGGCAGAACCAAAATGGCGGACGTGTTCGACCTTGAAACTACAATACATTTTAGTCCAACTTAGTTTCTTCCCTTTCATCGCCATTCCAAGGTCGTGTGTAACGTTATCGAGCACGGAAATACATTTTTGGAAGGCACTTAAGACAATGCATCGCAAAGCTGTCGATATTTACCAAGATTCACGAACAAATGACGATGAAAAACGGCCGACTTGTGCAAGTAATACCGTTGAGTCGTGACAAGAAATTTGTCTAGTAGGAAGATAAACAGCATGGCGGGGCTTCGCCATGAATCACCCCGGCGTTGAACATCGATATTACGGCACTCGGTCGTTCTGAATGATTTAGTTTGCGCTGGCTCGTTGCCTGTGGAGCTTTGCTGCATTCGTCTTATAGAATCAGTGAGGGAAATCTCTAGGAAAATCTTTCTGGTGCTAGAGGCTGGGTGGCTACCGAATCTTCCAACATAAACTATCCGAAATTTTTTATTTTTTTTTATTTTGTCGATCTGTCACTGCGTTTGTAGTGTTCATCTTTTAGAATTAATGAGGAAAGTCTTTCGATTATCGACTACCAGCCGTAGGGTGGACTCAAATTTTCATAGCATGAATATAAGCCGCTTTGTCGTTGCTTGTCGCTGAGGTATGTACGTGTAGTATAATTGGTCTTTCAGAATTAATGATGTAAATTTTATATCTTTTAAGCTGCTAGCTGCAGGGTAGCAACCAAATCCTACAACATGCACAAAACCAGTCCCAGACCATTATTATTCCTTTATACTTTATTGTGTCGTTTTGTCGTTGCCTTCCAGCCTTTTATGTAGCGTTCGCCTGCCAGAATTAATGAGAAAAATTTTGTGATCTTTTAACAACTGGCTACGGGACAGCATCCAAGTCCTGTAACATGAAAATAAAACTGTCTCAGATTTTCAAAGTCCTCCTTTATTTTGTCTCTCTCATTTCATCGTTTATTCTTTCATTCATGTCATGAATCTTACATTTACATTTACCATAGGCGCCGTGAATCTTTAAGCTTACTTCTTCCATTGTTTCTTGTGAGTCTCAAATTTTCAAATTTCTTCTTTATTTGGTGTCTTTCTCATTTTGTCGTTTATTCTTTTATTCAGGTCATGTTACATTTTCCTATGGCGCCGTGAATCTTTAAATTTACTTCTTCCATTGTTTCTTGTGAGCTGCCAGTAAGCCTCTACATGTACTATGGCGCCTTCAAGTCACATTAAAACATGCAGTGAGCAGGCCTTCTGAGTCGAAACACCCTCGTAGAATACAGATTATATGCTGGATAGATAAAGGCGCTGGGGACTTAATATTCACGGCGCATCGTGTTCTACGGTAACAAGAGCTGCAGCTTTCATCTGGGTTTTTAATGGGTGAATATTTTTCTTTCTTACGCCGGTGGGGAACATATTTTAATTGGTGTTTTTAGGTGCTTGAAGCTACATGAATATGATGCAGATATGAATTCCTTTTGCTCTCTCAATGTTGAATGCTATAATATGAGGGTTTGTCCGTTTTCAGGCAGGGGGTTTATAATTTCCTCCTACAATTGCGTTCAGATAGAAAATAGATTTGTTATGCCTAAATTTCACACTGCTGGTTCACCAACGTTGGTCATATAAGCATTTAAATTGACATATGGCAGGTATAAACCTTAAGGATGAATTAATCTGAAACGTGACTCTAGCCTCTATTGGGAATATAAACTGTCGTGCAGCGAAACGGTCGATTATATTAGCGCAGAGGGATCATTTAACAGTAAAGCTTCCCGTCCTATTAAATCTAATACCCGAACAGCCATTATAGCACCTGGTATGAACCTATAGACATTCGCGCTGCAGCCATTTTCATACGCATTCCCTTTTTTCCAATGGCGAAACAAAATAGAGCCATTTCGGCATGGCTTAGAGTTAAAGCATGGTAGTGTGTCAAAGACTCAAAGTAATGCTGCCACAAGCCTGCACGAAATGAAAAACGCTTCAGATTTGAAATGGTTTTAGGCTGGCTTTGCACGGATGGATTTGGACAGAAATAGATTTTGGGACTAGTAGCTGTTATGACACTTGTCAGAAGGCTGCATTCATTCCACGTTAGAATCACACTGTTAGAATTACGCCCTGTTGATTTAATTTCCGAACAGCCATTTCCGTATGCTTTTGACGTCAGACTTTTAAT